TCATTAAGGTCTTCTACACAAATTTAAAATTGAATGACTTGGAGGATTTAATCTCTATGATTTTATAGAAGCATATTACGATGAAACTTGATGATTGGTTGCATGTGACCCATTTAAAATATCAGGGTCAGCAAATTGATGTTATTGACATCCTTGACTACCTGAGATACGATAGGAATGTGGCATTGGTTGCGATGGTCATACCAGAAGTACAATTTCGGACTTGTAGGAATACTAGTAGTATGACCGTGGAGAACAAACTTCTCCATTATGTGTTAGTTCATATGTTTAGTCCTCGAGGAGAGAATTATGCTTCAAGTGTTACAAGAGGATATATTTATGATCTGGTGCATAAAGAATCACATTGCGATAAATTGGCTTTATTGTATCATCAGACATAAGAGGAAATGTAAGGTTAATGATATGCATCTGTCTTATGGCCTTCTAATCACTCGTATTCTACTGAATTGTGGCTTGGACCTGATTTTACAGTCATGTCACACCTTTAGACAAACAAATAGTTCAACGAGACATCTTTGAAAAAGTTGAATGTCATAAATATTGATGGGGCATGACAACATGGAAGGGGTCAACATGTCCAACAACTTAACCTCGAGCAAAATCACTCATCTAGTGAAAATTAAGATATGTGAGTTGAACATGGACAAGCAGAAACACTAGCTGAGGGGCAACAAATATATCCTCCCCAACAAGCTGATACCATAAACTTAATATGGAGAGGTATTTAAGATATGCAAAGACATATGGGTACACGTGAAGTGAATGTTCAGAATAATTATGAGAGTCTACAACGTGGGATTAATTATGTGCATCATAGGATCGATCTAGTTGAAGAGCAAATTGATTAACTTCATGAGAGTCTTCAATAGACGTTTCATTCATGTTATTGCTACTATTTATGTATTGTTTTTTATTTAACTTTTGGATTACTGTAATCATTAATAAGATAATTGCATGTTTTTATGACTATAATTTTATTACAATATAAATGTAGTTTTTTATTTAGTTTAAATTTGGATGACTTTGCACATGTTATAAGCACATTTTACTTTTTATTTAAAATTTAAATATTGTATGTTTTGTGAAATGAAAATTTCACAAATTTAATAAAAATTATAAATTCTAACACACATTATAAACCCTAACAAATTGAAGTTTTTTATTTTGTTATGTACAGATTATTATTTGATCGAAAAATCGAAACGAATAATATAGTGATTTACAAGAAGAACAATTCACTACTAATGTCCCGGGGATTGATATGAACTTAATATGTTAGGCTCAAAATCAGATACAAGAAAATGTCAATGTTGCGACACTAACCATGTTATGTGGTATATCATCTGCATTATACATGTTAGATCAAATGTCTACAAGTAGCACCAACAACATTAACCTCCATGGTCCTAAAAAAGATAGTTGAAGATGTGAGCTAATGTCATATTTGGTTCATTCAGAATGATGTCGTGATATTATTCACATAGGACCCGACGCGTTCATGAAATTGTGTCATCGATTAAGAGCATCTGACATCGTGAAAGATGCATTTAGGTCAACACAAGTTGCTAAATTTTTACATATCTTAAGTCATAATGTTAAAAATTATAACATGTCATTTTTCTTTTATTGATCGGGTGAGTTGATATTTTCACATGTTTAATGTGACAATTGACTTAGAGGAAAAATTTGTTGTTCAACCATCTGGAGCAGATGTGCAAACACACATATCTGACAATCCCATATTTTATCCTTATTTTAAGGATTGTCTTGATACGATTGATGAAATGTATGTCCGCGTGAAAGTAGCATGATCGAAACCCCTTATTTTTGTGGTAGAAAAGATTGGTCAACCCAAAATGTGTTTACGGTATGTGATTTCGACATGAGATTCATATATGTGCTAGCAGGGTGAGAAGGTACTACATCTGACTTGCGGATTTTAAAAGATGTCTTACACAAGGGAGGATCCACTGACCATACCAAAAGGTATGTAGCGTTTGATAACAAACATCGTTTATTTGTTCCACCAAACAGTTAATAGCATTTACTAACTAATGTTATTTTTTGTAGGTAAATATTATTTGGGAGATGCAGGATTCATGTTAAAGATTTAAATTATAACTCCATATCAGGGTAAGGTACCACCTTAAGGAATATTCGCAAAGAAGTCCTACGACTCCTCAAGAATTATTTAATCCCCGTCATTCATCACTGAGAAATATAATTAAGAGAGTATTTGGTGTGTTGAAGAAAAGATTTCTCATTATAGCAAGTGGGGTTATAGTTTTGAAACATAAGGAATATAGTTTTGACATGTTGTATTTTGCACAACTTTTTACGTGGAATAGATAACAAGGAATCTTTTCTACATGAAGTGGACCAAGAATTAGAGGAACATGTTGATGATAAGTCTGTAATACAAATCCAAGAGGATGATTATAGGAAAGGGGCTAACTTAAGGAACTTGATAGCAGCCAAAATGTGGCATGATTATGAACATTAAATTATCTTTTTTTAATTATGTTTTTTCTTAATTTTGTTATTGTTCACGTGTAATTGACTATTTATAAGTTAATATCATCATTAGTTATTTAATGTAGAAATTGTAACTTACCTTAGCCATAATAACAATGAGATAAAGTAACATAACCTACTTGTTTTGAGGCTAACAATGAGTAGAGGAAAAAAAGGTTGATGCAAGCCATAACATGTGGGAGTTTACAAAATGGACTGAAGTTATGGATTTACAATTGCTAACTGCCATGATTGATGAAGTTCGGGTTAGGAATAAAATACCTGGTAGTTGGACCAGTCAGGCCTATACAAACATTGTAGAGGCGTTAAGACAAGTAATTTATTCTTCTATCAACAAGAATAATTTAAAGAACAAAAAAAAAATGTTTGAAAGATCGATAACGTGAAATGCACGGTCTTTTTAGTGACCTAAGCGGTTTTGCATGGAATGAGGTCACAAGGATGCTTGAAGCTGAACTTGAAGTTTAGCAAGACTTGATTCAAGAATTAATGTTGAAGGAAGTATTTTACTTCATAATTATAATAGCCAATGATGTTTAAACGTGTTTGCACCTTGTTTTATCTCAGGCAAAACCATCTGCTACCAAATGGCAGGTCACATCCATTAAGTTCTATGACTTATGGAAGAGCTATGGGGAGCTGATCGTGCCACGAGGCACATGATTGGGACCACACGACAGGTTCAGCAACGACATAGTTTCACGATGGACTTGGGTGTTGACCTAAATGAAGATGCAACAAATTCCTTTCTCCACCAGGACTACACTCCCTCATTTACTGAGATGCAACCCAATATTTCGCGAGTTGATTCGTATAATCCCCGCGTCTCTCCATCTGTCCCATCTACCCCTTCCGGTAGTACCTCTTCATTTAGAGGCTCAAAGAGGAAAACCCACATAATTGATGTTGATCTTAATTCTCAATTTGAATCCATGAACATAGGGATCAACCAAATGGTCGATAGGATGGGAGAGAACAACAAATATTGAGTCAGGCTAACAAACTTAGTGGAGCGACAAGTTGTTGCAGTGGAAGTTCATGCTGCTGACCAGCGCCGACGAACAGACTTATACAGTGAACACATTATGATTCAGAGGAGCTTTGTTACGTCACATTATTCTGCATCAGATATATGACAAATGTTATGTGAGCTTAACTTTTTGGACAATCAACTTCAACTGTAATGTTATAAGTTCATTAACAAAAATATCATCCACAACAAGATGATTTTTGTCTCCCACCACACTTACAATTTAATTACTTGTTGAAACACATAATAAGTGGTAGCATGTCTTAATTGCCATAGAATATGCAAAACACATATCATGTTGGATGACTCGCCTTAACTTTTTTTTCTTCTTGGATATATGTAAGAATATGTCTTATTAGTATGTAGTTTCTTTATTTGAATAGTTATAATTAATGTTTAATTAAAATGTTATTTAATTTAATATTATCACACACTAAATAAAAATTTTGTATTTTATTTGAATGTTATTTAATTATTGTATTTAATGTGAAATCAATTATTAGAAAAATATCAACAATTTTAAATATATAATTTAAACTACAATAAAAATATATTTTATAATTAATATATAAAGTTATTTTAATTATACTCTAGATATAAAATAATATTAATATATTTAAATATCATATATAATATAAATATTAACATTCTTATATTTAATTATATTATAATTATCTTTTTTCTTAATTTATCCAATACAATTACAAGGTGTTATTATTTCTAAACAAATATTATTCATTTTTTATTTATTTATTATTATCAATTACATAAGCTATAATAAATTTACTCACATCTCTTCAAATTTATTATCTTTTTCTTAATCCAAACAATTATTCAATCTACTCTGTATCACTTTTACGTCTCCTTCCTCAAATTCCTAACGGAATCCAAACTAAATCTTCCCATAATCAACTTATTTATAAACAAATATAGTTAAACTATCTTATATATTGGAAAATATTAAATATATAGTTTCTTTCATACTTCTTTTATATAATATTAAAAAATTAATAAAAATAATTATAAATAAAAAAATATAATTATTCATAACAAACAATTTGTTATTATTGATGTATAGTTTTTTTAGACTAAGGTTGTGATTTACAAACATTAAGGTTAATGCCACGAGAAATGCAGACGCAATTAATGACAGAATATTCTTTGAAAAAGAATACGAAAAGACTAACGATGATATTTATTCATTCTACAATAAGACCAATGTAATATATTATTATCCTTTACAACTTAACCTCATTAATTTTTTTCTTTTTTTTTCTTTTTTCATTCATCTGGGGAAGGAAAGTTTGATCCTTTCTTGGGGGAAGCTTAGGGTAGGGTACTGACCTCTATTAGTTGGGTGCTCTGCTCCACATAATAATACCATGTACTCCTCCGTTTTCAAAGTCTGCGTTTTATGACAAAACCCAACGGTTACTTTTCTTTTTCCATTGCTTCCTATGGGTTCTCAAAGGGTCACATGCTTTATCCAGCCAGGGGTAAATCAGTCACTTCGCTGTCAACTCAGGGTCTGGTCAAATTTTCAAATTTCTCCACAACTACAGGTCCTATTGTCACGCGCCAACATCGGAAATTAAAATAAGCTTTTCTTTCCCGTATATTCTCAGATTCCTCCAAACACTAAATAAATAAATACACATAAAAAAAAAAAATATATAGATCATGCCACCTCATGTCAATATCATGGTTCGCATACATACATACATACATACCGCATGACGCAACTCCATACATAAGAGTGACTCGTCCTCCCTTCTTGACTCTCCAATTCTTTATAACCATTCCTTCCACTTTTTTCAAAACGCACAATTCACTCTTCAAAATAACCCTGTTCCTCAATTCACAAGCATGGGAGAGGTCAGTTCTAACATCTACCTCCTGATTTGGTGAATCTCATCCACTATTCACTTCAGTTGTGCTGATTGTTTTTGGTGCGTTGCAGAAAAAAGAGAAGGCGAAGAATGAGGCTGAGAAGATGCCTGACTCGGGAGGAAAGCAAAACGACGGAATCGCCCGTGTCGTTTTGAAACTCGAAATGCATTGCGAGGGATGCGTCAAGAAGATCAAACGCGCCGTTCGCAATTTCGACGGTATTTCTCTCACTATTCAGATCTCTATCACCAGCGTTTCCTTCTCAACCGTTTATTCATAGAGTTAGTTGAAAATTTGTTTACAATGACGTTCATAATCGGTTGTGGATGCAGGTGTGGAAGACGTTAAGGCGGATCTATTAGGTAACAAGTTAACGGTTATTGGGAAAGTCGACCCTGCCTTAGTGCGAGATAAGCTAGCGGACAAAACTAAGAAGAAGGTCGAAATTATTTCTCCTCAACCTAAGAAAGAGTCCGCCGTCGGAGGCAAGCCACCGGAGAAGAATACGAAAGAGGAAACAACAGAGAAGAAACCGGCAGATAAGAAAACCGAAGAAAAATCTCCGAAACAGGTGCGTAGTTTCATTTTTTTTTTCGCCTTCGTCATTACGGTTACCGGAGCGCTGACTTAACCGAAACGCTGTTTAATTTCATTGCAATTGAATATTATTTTTGCAATTTTACCGTTTTTATTGAGATAATTTGATATACTAACGTGACTTGTTCAATTCTGATACTAATTAATTTGTCATGGGTACAGAGCACTGTGGTTTTGAAGATCCGATTACACTGTGACGGTTGCATCCAGAAAATTCGAAAGATTATGCTCAAGATCAAAGGTCAGGCGTGCGAGTATTTTGACCTACATTTATAATTCTTGCCCAAAGTATTTTAATTAAAATATTGGCTATACTGAACGGGATTAAGGATACTGGAGCCCACTAGTATATACGGATACTTTATATAATATTTAAATCATACGTTGCTCATTTATTATTTAAATAACCAGCATTATACAAAGTAAATTATTAAGGCGACGTGTTCTATGCAGGGATTGAATCGGTTAACATAGAGGGAGGGAAGGATTTGGTGAACGTAAAGGGGACGATGGAGGAGAAGGAATTGGTAGCGTATTTGAACGAAAAGCTGAAGCGGAACGTTGAGGTGGTCCCACCTAAGAAAGAGGGCGAACAGAAAGAGGATAATAAGAAAGAGAAAGAAAAGAAGGAAGGTGATGGTGATAAGAAAGTGGGTGGTAAAAAAGAAGAGGGGGCACCGAAGGTTGAGGTTAACAAAATGGAGCACTACGGGTACGCGTATCCACCTCCTCCTATGTATTGGTACGATGGATACACACCAGGGCAAAGTAGTAGTAGTAGTAGTGGTGGTGGTTACACGGTAGAGGCTCAACCAGGGTATTCGAATCAAGGGTATGATGGTAATTACCCGAATTACCATGATCAATACCAGCATGGGTATGTGAACCAAGGGTACATGGTACAACCGCAACCACCACCCCCGTTCTACTTGAACCCTCACTATCCTCCACCGCAGATGTTCAGTGATGAGAATCCCAATGCTTGTATCGTGATGTGAGCCATTGTTTCTCTAAATTTGATGATTATTTTGATGTATAAACTTTAGAACTATAGAACTACGTGCAGGTTGTAAATAATAACAATTTTCTATTAGAGGTTTATGGTACTTTTGTATAATAATTATAAAAATGTAGTACATAGAATTTTGCTATCACGCCATGATGACGAGAGTCAGGTTCAGATAATGTTATAAAAAAAGTCGAGTTCTATGTAGTTGTTTTTGTTGTTTTTTTTTTATTATTATTATAAAAAAAATGTAGAAATCAATTCCAGCAACCTTCAAATTTATCGATAATGAATTTGTAGATGACTTAGTGTTTGATGAGGCTATGGTTTGGCTCCAAGCGTTTGTTCTAGGTTGAAATGCGTCATTGTATTGTGGTGGAGAGAATCTTTATTCGTTTGATTGTTACCTAACATTGCGGTTAGTTGTTAATTCTGTCAAATTGTGATTACAGAGTTTAAGATCGAATCTAAATCTCGTGTATCGTTATTCTTATACATTTCTTTGACAATACGTATTAGTTTCTTTCTTTCGTCATATCAAGATGTCAAAACATAATCTCGTAAATATTTATAAGGAATATGTATTTTCTTTTTGAGGAATTTTATCTTCTATGATAAACTTTAAATCATAGATTCATGACGGAGTTTCTATCAACTAAATATTTATAAATATCCTCAGAAATAAAGATTCTACTCGTAACAATTTATCTGAAAGAAATAATGTACAATCAATATTGTTTAATATATATATATATATATATATATATATATATATATATATATTAAACAATAGGTAAAACTAATAAAAACAAGATAGAAAAAAAAGCAAAAAGAAAAGAGGAAAAAAATAAGTTAACAAGACAAAGAAAAAGGAAAAAGATAAGTTACTTCAAAAAATGAAGGAAATTAGAAGGTGAAAAAAAAGGTTAAATGATAAAGTGTGATATTTGTCACACTGAATTCATTTGAAAACACATTAAACTAATCTTTACAAGAAAATTTGGTAATGTATTTATTTTCTTTAATATTAAGAACTCAACGTTATTATTCTTTCTCTGGTTATATAATATGTTTCGATATGAGAAAATGAAAGAGAAAAAAAAAGGATAATCAGGGCAGAAAGTGTAATTATTTAAATTAAGTTATGAAATTATGGAAAAATTAGTAAAAAGTTTATATTGTTTTTTTATTCAAAGTAAAAAGTTGTTTGAAGAAGCATAATTTACTACAATTTACATTTATAATAGGTCTATGTATATTCGAATATATCTTATTAAAATAGCTAACAATCATTACAAATTTAAGTCACAATTTATTATGGTAAAAGCATACCTGATTATATAGGTAATTATCTTTTGAGCCTAAAACACTCATTTAATTTATTTATTAAAAAATAAGAGAGAAATTAAACTAAGAGACATACTCATACAACAGTTTTCATTTGATAAACTAATACTATAAAAGAATAATTTTTAACGAAATTTTTAAATATAAATTATGAAAAGACCGATATAAAGAAAAAGACACGATAAATTTATAATTTTGAACAACCTTTCTATATCATAGAAAATCGATTATATATTTATCGATTAAAATTAATTAATTACTATTTTATAAGATGATTATTATTTTTACATGTTAAATGATTTAACTGTAATAAATACTTAAAATTCAATGCATACTAATATTTATATTTTAAATTACTGTATTTATTATTCATTTAATATTTCAATTAATATAATATAGTAAAATGTAATTATCTAAACTATGATTAGTTTTAATTTTAATAAATCATTTTGATATAAAAAGAAAACCAAGGGATCAATCTGTTTATAATCTGACAGATTAACAAATTAATAGGAGGTTTAAAATTTAAAATTTAGGATTTAAGATTTTATAGAAGTTTAGTATTTAATCAGAACAAGAAGATAACACCATCGAAGCCAAAACACGCACTCGACATTTTCTTACTTAACCTTGTAAAGTACCCACCACCAACCATCCACGTACTACCCACCTTGGAAAAAATCCAAGTCTATGCATTAATCATTATTCCAAACCTAGACATATTTGAAGGCCAAGCTAGATTTTTGTCCATTTCTCTGATCATAGCATGGACACATTCTCATTCCCAAAGTGGTGGTTAGTGTGAAAGTTCCAGGAAGTTACATCTTGTCACCGCCACCATGGCACCATGGCCTTCCTCCCAAACCGTACACTACACAAAGCTTTCATCATTCAGTTCACCTTTCACGTTTTCAAGTTAAAATTAATTAAATTCCAATTCCACCGACGATGAGTCATGCCAACGAATAACCAATGATACGGTTGCGTTCCGCGTCAGCTCCAATGGCAGGGTTCGCCATGAATATTGCATCCATTTTTCTACGACTTTTCTTTTTTTAGTGGAAAAATTATCTAAGAGATTATGACTACGAGTTGATTAATTATGTTTATGACTACGATTACGCCACACAGAGTCTCTGGTGGATACTGTTTGCCATGACATAATGAATTAGGTGAATATAATTGCATATAAAACATTTGCTACAAGTCATCAACAGGGATTCAACTATACAACCCAAAATCATCGATCATCAAAGATAAGAGAAACAATTTCTTTTACCACGCAAAATAAATTAATCCAAGTCCTCAATAAATATTTCATGCCATGATGTCAACTCTTTTCAAATCTTTTTATCGGCTTTGTCTGGTGATGGCGACCATATTTTAAACACAAATTATATGTAATTGAGATTAGCCATAACACATATTTAAGGAAAAAGAAAAGAAAAGAAAACATAGTTACTGTTAGTAAAAAGAAAAATCGATACAGGATCGAAAGAAGAAGAGAGAGAAAATCGAATATCATATAGTTGGTTAAAAATTGATAAGACAGGTAAAAGACACTTGGTAACCACGAGATAAAAACACATCGAGAATCAAATTCGAGAATCAAAGAAACAAATTTCGATGTCTATTATTGAAGAGAATCGGGAAATTAGAATAATGCAAAGTTAAGATTAAAGGGAATCAAAAGCAATTAAAAAATACTCGATGTCTGAAATCGAGATCGAGGGAACGATTAACACGCACATAGAACATGGGAAGCGGTTTCTAAACTAAGGCTGAGGTCGAAGATCAAAGAGGCAGTTATCTTATGCATGGGAACGTGGAATGCAGTTTTCTAAACCGTAACACTAAGAGACGTACGTGATGGATCGTGGTGACAATTTTGTTAACTGCTCTTAGGAGGTTATTTGAAGGGCGCTCTATAAATAGAGCGAAGCTTGAGGAAGAACGAGGAAATTGACAGAGACAACTGAAGCGCAAGTGAACAGTCTGCAGGAGAACGACGCATCATGAAGTTTCTAATGCTCTGGATTTCCGTTTTCATTGATTATCTTTATCGCTTTCTTTACTTTCCCTGGTAATTTTACTTTCATTGCAACTTTACGTTTATCAAATTTAAGTTTGTCATTTCGATTCCTTGTCATTTACCTTTATGCAAAAGTTACTTTTGTGCAAGTTAATGTTATGCGTTTAAGATCCTCGCCATTTACATTCCTGCAATTTCGATTTCCTGTTGTTTACATTTCCGCAATTTCGATTTCTTGCCTTTTACATTTAATGCAAATTTGAGGTTTCCGTATTCTACATTTCTCTGCAATTTAGCGTTCTGCTTTCGATTCGACGCTTGCTTTTACTGCTTTCTTTACTTCGCGTTTCTTAATATAAAATACCAAAAAATAGTACTTTCTGCATTCTAGGTCATGTGATTTGCATCTTTTCGAGATTTTGGGATTCTCGATTCTCATACATGTTTCGATTGAAAACCGTTTGCTAGCCTAAATAAAAAGAATCTACATGGTTGAGATTTGATTAGAACTTAAGTCTCGATAAATCGAAATCGATCAAATTTTCACCAGAAACAAATTGGCGCGCCAGGTAGGGAGTGTTGTGTCGAAAAAACACAAACAATTGGTTAGTTCGAAAGTGTATGAGATTAAGGAGTGGGCGAGTATTAAGAATGAGTCAAAATACACCACATAATCAGAATAACAATGAGATTCCAAATAGTTCACATTTACCAAACACTAAGGGGCAAGTTCACAATGGGAATATGCCCGTAATATCGACAAATGTGAGTATGTCGATACCTGTGAGTGCTGAATAAAGCTCAGGCACATTGGTAAACACTCAGTTAGGGTCTAGCACTGTAATGTCAAACAATATACAAACTACAGGGAATCCTGTAACAACATATGCAGGACCGCATATGAGTGTAAGACCGCCTGGCTTTTCGATTAATAATATGAATAGGGCTGGTACTTCTTCAATACAACGAAGTACGAGATTTAACCTAGGAATGCCCCAAAACTTAGGCACATTTCAAACCTTAGGCATGCCTCAAAATTTTGGAATATCCCCAAATTTATGAGTGTCTCAAAATTTAGTAACACCCCAGAATTCAGGGAATGTGCAGAATTTAGGAACGCAACAAACGCCTTCGGTGTCAAACCTAGATCACAGAGCAAACCCGGATCACGGGAGATACCTACTCGATAGAGATTATCATCGATCCAATTTTGAGACTATCAAAAACGCTAGTACTGGAATTTCCAGTAACTCATTAGGAGTACTTCGACAACAAATGGACGAAAGCAATTTTGAGATGGTTAACATGTTATCACAACAGTTGACTACAGTACTGAATCCATTAGTTCAAAACACCACCACTAGTTTTGAGATATTAGCAGACCAAATGTCGCGTATCGGAGATGCATTGGCGATACCCCGACAAACAAGGGTCGAAAATAATGTCAATCAGAATATTAACCAAAACGCTAATATCAATCACCTTTATTTATTAAGGAGGAATCGAAACAATGATCAATATCAACAGGTTAGGAATGATGCTTATGGAAATTTAAATGAGGGATGTCAAAATATGTACAATCAAAATAACATGCAGTACAATCACCTGATGGG